CTATTTATCTAGCTATCTACCTGTCTATTTATCTAGCTATCTACCTGTCTATTTATCTAGCTATCTACCTGTCTATTTATCTAGCTATCTACCTGTCTATTTATCTAGCTATATAACTGTCTATTTATCTAGCTATCTACCTGTCTATTTATCTAGTTATCTACCTGTCTATTTATATATTTAGCTAATAAGCTAAATCGGAAGAAGATGAACTTTACCCCGGATCTGAGTAGTGTGCGCCTGCTACAGCTAAGAATAAAAATATAATTGGGGAGTGAGTCGCTCGAGCACACTCTGTCTTCAGGTGTCGAATACAGAGCGCGCATCTTCCTTTAGACAGTGTCGGAACTAAACATGAATCGAAATGTCAATGCTCCCTGCCCCCCTCCCCCTCCTGTATATCTCAGAATTCCCATTTACTTCTCCCACCTGAGGTTTCCATTGCGGAATGGAAAAATTCCGCATTTTTTGCACTTCTCGTTTCTGATTACTTCCGCAATAATCATTTTGAGGAATTTTTGCGGAGTTCGCAAGCACATTTGCGCTGAATTGCGCGAAATGCTTCCGGTGAAAAACCAACTCCCACCCGTAGAATTTTCCATTAAAATTCTTCTAAAGACGAGATTTAAATATGCGCATTTTTTTACAGATGAATTGAAACACATCAATTCAGGTATTTTTGCACCCACATGAAAAGATGCAATTTTCGCAACCTTGCAAAATGACAAATATAAATTTGTTTGCATTAATTCCATATTGCAGTGAATAAAAATGTGCTAACGTCTGCTTCCGGTTGCATACTAAAAGGACTGTACGCGAAATTTCAAATAGGAACCTTCATGCAAAGCTGGCTTTAGCCCGACCCGATTCACAGATTATCTACAAAAATGACTCGCGCATTTCTCAGATAACGTATCAGAAATATACTCTTTTAGCCGATAAAAACGACAATATTTTACATATAATTTATCAGATAAAGGTTTAAAGGGGTCCCTAGTGAATCGGGCGTTGGAGTATTGCTTACAGTCTCTTTAATGGTGAAGGGATGCAAGCCTGTTTCAGACCTACTATTATTTTAACTGTCCATCCATCTAAGCAAATGTCATCCAGTCAGGAACTATGTCATCCATCAAGGCGATTCATCCAAACGCTACTTTAGACATCCTTATATCCTTATATAGGTTCTCATGCACAATTCACATAGTTGTTTTCATAAACCATGTGAAATATATTTTCATAAACCATGTGAAATATATTTTAATTTGAATGATTGCTAAAAATAAACAAGTAAAATAGCCAATATTCATTATTAAAGGGTCTGTGAAGGAAAAATGAAAGGGGGTATATAGCCTGAAATCTAAGCATTTTAGGAGTTGATCGAGACTATCACTCCTGTATGCCGAGTCCATTAGCATCTGATCCAATCAGGGTTCAACCATGTGTTTGTTGTCTATTCTGAACCAATAGAAATTGCATGGCGGTAACATCTATCTTTCTATCTATCTCATCATCCAATTAGAGACCAATTCTTATATCGGCGCTATAACAGTAAATGGAAATATTACTACCTTTTTTATTTTTAAAATATTGCACATCGGCGCTATAACAGTGAATGCCTGTATTCTATCTAGCTAGCTAACTTTCTTATATTCATCTATCTATCTATATATTGATCTGTTCTATCTACATATTTAATTATCCATCTATTTATATTCTATTTATTTAGCTTTCAAATTCTGTTTACAAATCTGATTTGCTAACTGTATAGCTGTATATATTCACATATCTATCTATTTATCTATATATATATAAAAAAATCTTTACGTCTAGTCTGCAATAAGAGTTATAATTCTCACACTGCCCCACTTTTTTTAAAAACTGCCATAGTCCCTTTCCAAGATCTAATACAAGTAAATGCCCTTTGTTTTATGTACGAATATAGGTTAAATCGTCTGCCATCATCATTTAATAACTCATGGAGCTTGAACAGGGATACAGACCCCCAATATATGCTAAGAAATGGCGAAGACTTTGCAATTCCACGATTAAAGTACCAGTATTTAAAATCACATCCTCTTTTTTATTTTCCGAATTTATGGAATAAATTTAAACCAGTGTTTAAAAATAGCATTGTTAAGAGCTCAACGTTTTC